TAACATGGTTCGAACAATAAAATAGTTATATTACATAGTTATATTATATTTCTAAAATCTGCACAAATATTTTTTTTATTGTTAAATAAGTTTTGCGTGTTTAATTTCATTTAATATTTTATATACAGTCCTGTCAGTTGCAACAACAATTAAAGCAGCAGGAAACAACCAACTACACATGCAGTAATAAATTGATTTTTTGTGACATTTTTACTCCTTTAAAGTTTAGATTTTCCTAAAATAATAATTAAGTTAATAGATATTTCTGTAAAGATCATTCTGTAAATAAAAACTGCAGTGTTTTTAAAACTTATAGTTATTTTTTTAGTAATCACAAGATAATCTGCAAACTCTGTACTTTTAAATATGATTCTGAAATCTGAACATCTGTCAGATATTTACCTTTTGAATCATAATCTAATTGCTCAGGCTTATGAAAAGCTATTTATAAAAATTTAACGCTTAAAAAATAATATAAGATTAAAGGTAATTCCTGTTATATTGAAAGGTACGTTGATGATTGGTTCGAGTCTTTAAAGTTTAAATTAGTTAAAAGAGAGTTCAAATTGTTCTGTTTTTATCTTATGCTCTTTATCTAAAAGCTATTGAAATATTTACTGCATTATTTTTCATTTGTTTTATTATGTTATGAAAGACCTACCAAGCTTGAAATTTTACAGGTCAAAATATATAGTATGTATATGTATATCATCCCTCGAAAACTAAAGTCAGCAAAAAAAGCTAAAAAACTAGACGAATAAACTTATTTAAAACACTTTTAACAAGTTTAGTTACAAGTTAATGTTATGTGTTGATGTACCTGATGATGTAACCAAATCAGTGTTAACATTTTAGCAAAATGTCATATCGTCAGGCTGTTTGATTGGAAGAACCAAAAGCTTGATATTTTATTAAATTGTTGTTTTAGTTTGTGATTTAATAACTTTTATTCAAAAAATGTTAAATAATTTACTTTTTAAGTTTATTTGCCATTGCTTTGGATAAGATGTTTTGTTATTCCTTTTACAGATTGTTATAAGGGTTGCAAAAGTTTTAATCATCAGAAACTGAAGGAGGCATTGATAATCAGCAGATAATAAAAAAAGTAAAAGTACTGATTAATACAAATCTTTTAAAGGTTTCACTTTAATTTATTAATGTTTATATAGAAACTAATAATATATAAACTGAATATAAAATCATACAATTAATCCATAATTGTGCTTTACTCTAATCTAAATTAGTTAATATTACTAGTTTAATGCAATTACAGTAAAAATGGTTAATAATGCAAAAATTGTTCCAGTGAGAAATACATTGATGTTTTATGTAGAGCTTGCCATACTTGACAGTATTGAAAAAAGAAGGGTGCAATTACCATTTATAGTAATACGAGTATAG